CTCTTGTTATTATCCGGATAAGTAGCTGTGTTGTCTACCATTCAATTGCCATCCAAGTACAGAGAGGGAAGAAATGGCTACTAGCTCTTACAGTCTTTATATACAGTTCCGAATACATGCTCAGTGCATCCGTAAAAAGAATGTTCAACCATCATGACAGTAGTATACAAAGAATGTGTATCACACATGCATTTTATGTCATAATCTGCTGATGATTTGTTTGTCAACTGCTTGCTAATTATGTCCTCTGAAAATTGGCCGATACGATCTGAACCGTCAGGCAAAAAGCTATTACTGCGGAGTAGTGAATGATATGGCACTAAAACACTCAAACAAAACTGAGCGAATAACTTCCAGCAATGGACGGGATGGGAAAATCAGAACACAGTCGTTCACATCACGGTGATCACGGTGACATGACCGGAGGTGGCGAAAGAAATCTGCCGTCATGACGTTTGTCGTGCGGTCAGTCGACGTTGAGTGATTGCAGCAACATCGTCTTTATTTTGTTATTAATTCGGCACTGTAAATATACCCTTTAGTTATACCCGAATCGAAAGATCATTATCATTATACTCTGAACAGATGATCGAGTACTACAAGAGAGGGTTCTAATAGGCGACCACGTCTCAGAAAAGACTACAAGGAAAACGGTCTATGGGTAGAACATGTATCAGACGGTCGGATTAGCAGAAGACTTGGCCCGGTAATGCGATGGAATCCAGTGCTAGAAGATTATCGCAGTGGAGGCGAACTGTAAACTTTGGAAAGATCGATACTTTCCAATTGTCATTCTCAAAACGAGAATAAGATTTCCCCTATATTATCTGCTCAGCAGGAACCTCAGTCACTGTATAAACCTATAACGGGACAAAAGAGTGCATTACTATAGGATAAGTTTTGTTTTTACTTTGTCTCGTTGTTAAAGAAATCTATAAAAATTTACAGACGGCCAAAGAGTTTCAGGACGTGTCTCGGTCTGAGGGTAGCGTAACGAAAAAGAATCGAAAGACACGTGTGTTTGGAACCGAAAAAGCACAGCAGATGAATGATGTCGCATCAGTCGGTCGGTCGGTCGATGTCAGTTGCATTCCATGGATGCGACGCCGACGTCGGACAGACAGAAAACGAAACCGAATAAATAGCCGTTTCAAGACACTTACCGGTCAGATCTGCGCTTCTAATGCAGTCCGACACGTCCATCAACGTCAGCAGTAGCAGGACAACGAGAAACAGCCGATTTGCGATGGTCCCCGTCGAACGAAAGCATGTGGTGTTGGAGCGGGTGACGGTCAACGACGACAAACCGCTGTGGCGGTCACATGCCTTCCGGCACATGTCTTCCGGCAACCGGTCAACGATGGCAGCGGTCAGCGGCGGATGAGCCCATTTTTGAACAGCAGCTAAGACGGAACATATAAGCTTATATAAATGTTCACGACGATTGGCAACGGCGATAAATAAGAAAACGCGACCAGAAGAAACGAGTGACCGATGACCATTAGCATGACGATGAGGAAATTTCGTCCGCGGGACAGCCAAGGTCAGCGTCAGCGGAATTACATTTTTGCCCATGCCGATGCTGGGCATTAGTGTTAACGAGATCACCTCCAGATGAACCGAGTATAAATAAACCGAATCGGTTATTCGCTTATTCAGTTATTCAGTTACGAAGTTAGCGAATGAGCCGTCGCCTACCAGGATAAGATACCAACAGGAGGTTTCGAACGATGTTTCGAAATGGAAGAGAGCGGAAGCTGCCAAGATGTCCATGGTCACATGGCCACGGACACACAAACAGACAGATGCGGCTGCGCGGCGACAAATCGACCGACAACACATGACAAAAAGAGGTATTTGTATGAGGCGGCGTTTACGAGCGCGACATGCCCACGGCTAGTACGAACTCGACGAATACGACTACGACTATTACCAGTAGGCGAAGGCGAAGGCGAAGACGACGACGACGACGGCTGGCTCCATGACGGACGGCAATGGCAACGAGGAAAACTGGAGCAAAGCATTACACGGCACAGCGCACACTGCACAGAAACGGCGTATATAAAATGAACGAATGGACAGACGGACGGACGGACGGACGGACGGACGGACGGACAGACAGACGGACAGGAACTGAAAGGAAATCTAAACCGAACTCAGAACCTGTCCGAACGTCCGTCGCCAAGATGGGACTACCGAATGCAAACAATCAGATGACAGAGGCCAAAAACCGAAAGCAACAGTTTTACGGTTTCCGGTAATTCGACGGTTCGACTTTCTTTCCAACTTCCAAAGCTCACTGTCATCATTTGACTTGACGAAACCGATGAAAAGTCCCCCCTGTAGTGATTTTCGACAGCCATCAAACGAAGCACGCCTGGTCATCGGTCAGCCTGATGAACAAACAAACAGTCAAATAGACCGTCACCGCCAGATGTGCTGACTTTCGTTACACGGACGACGAACTTCGGTGTCCTCGGTGAACGAAGCCGTAGTCGTCGATCGTCCTCGTAAAACGTCGCTTCGCGCGCCCCAGCACGCGCTCTATTCGTCGTCTGCTCGGGAATACGAAACGAAAATTTACGAGGCTCGTCGTAAGCAACCATATTTACGTCACACCCCACCACACCGGCTGCGGAACATGTGCCAACGACGAGGAGGAGGAGGAGGAGGAGGAAGACGACGTGAGGACCGACCACGAATCGCCATCGCCGCCAAGCAAACCCGAACCTAAAGGCAGGCAACAACGACTATGTACCCCACCCGCCACTACCATCAGTCGTTGATGTCACCGCAAAAATGCGGTATAATCCTCAGGGGATATCCCATTTTTACAATTACCTTGTTCCGTTCGTTGGTCCACTGTACTGACTCAACTACATCATCGGCAGCAGAACTAACTCATCATCCCAGAAGAACTTAAAGATGCATTAAGCGAAGTTGACGCTGCACACGAGGACGGGAGGAGCAGACTGACAAACTCCAGAAAGGGAGCTAATCGTACAGCGGAGTAGATGAATCAAACAAAGCGACTAAAAACTTCACCAGCACCATATTCAACAACAACCACTCATTTTACCCTCTCTTGTCATATTGTACCTCCCCACATGTCGGTACATACAGTCCACGGCCACAAAACACAAATCAGTCACCCCACTTCGACTAAGGGCATAGCAAGCATTTCATCCATTACACTGAAACGTGTCGTTACGTTCATCCGCATTCTAATTCAAAATTCACTCACCAATCTATCTCCGTTTATTCAATTTTAGTTTCATACCATTATTTACACATTCAGTAAAATTCTTGTTGTCCGTGTCTTAAAATATGCATCAAAATATGTTCACTCGTTCATAAAGTCTTTTCCAGAGAGAATATTCACATGGTCTATTAGCTGAGATAAATCAGGGCCTTAAGTAAATTTTTAATGTAATTAAACAGTTTAAAAGTTCAGTAATAAATAAATTATATTAAGTAAGGAGTACCCGTTCCTGAAACTTCTAGAAACTGTTCACACGATATGTATTTGGTGCTTTGGACATTCAATATCGTTGAGACGCAACAGCTCAAGTGACTCGCTTTACAACTGATAGCAAGGAAGTGGAGCAACTACTTAACTTAATCGTTTGCATTCACTCCTTCGTTCATGCCTCGATCACCCAGCCGTTCGGCTATGGGTTCATTCTACTACCTGCGAGTGCGAGGTGGAAAATGAAAGCTTCTCTATTTTGAGTTACAGTTTCAATTAAGAAGAAGCTTCGCATGCTTCCAAACCAGTTCTGCTGCTTCGACAAATGAAACACATGTAAATCATTGTAATGACGCCGGCTACGAAGTATTCTCAAAGTGTGATCCGTTGATCTTACCGTCGGGTGCTGACGACCATCGATCTGCGAAAATCATCAGGTGAACTGGTGAGGAAGTACCGGCGCCTGGCTTGGTTAGACACAACGACCCTAAAACAGAATGGTGATGTTCTCAAAACTTTTCCCACATGCGAATCTCAGAGTGACCGGACCGGGTTAGAGCACCTGCACAGAAGCATATCGTCGGTTCAGGCGTTGAATTTGTCTTTCCTCACTTGTCAATGGTGCCATGAACTACAGTCTAAAAGTGCCGGTCTCATAAATACGAAAACCCAAGTCACAAGGGCAAAGCTGCTGAAACGATGCCATACTGAAGTGAGCCTGGTTTTCATTCGCTTGCGTTTAATGTATTAAATCACTTTACATAAATATGCTTTAAATTTATACAAATGGAAAAGGTGGAACGCTGTCGAGTTCTCCTGCCAACCTCAACCAAATAACATTTCATTTGATATGTTCTCTTTTTGACAAATCAAAAACATGCGAAACTGACTGTCGCAGTTATCAATCTGCTCAAGTGGCATAGAATGCCACATCCAGATGGATAAAAAATGCCTTGAGAAAAAAGTCAAACATTTAGACAGCACAAGCCTATAAGAGAATAAAGCAACAGAAGTCAAGGCAAGACATCTGCTGGGACTCGTACTTCCGCAAATCCTAGAATAGCGATGGAGACAGTCATTGGAGTTCGTTTTAACCGCTGCATTCTCCAGCCTACTGTGGAAACAGCTTGCGTATAGGCTGTCACAAGAAGAAGAACATAAGAGATGATACAAGATCTTCGATTTTGGATTTTCCATGCTGTACGCCCATTCACTGTCCAGATTCCTGTTGCCGTCCTTAATTACGGTAAGGGTTTAATTCGGTTTTGCTCGAACTCGTCCACTGCAGCAATTAGGGCTGCGTCCTTTTTCTCCCCACATACATCCGTCACCTATCTTTCCTCCCGAGCCAGTTATCGCCCGTTCCTCTGTCTCGATTCCTCTCTGCTATCGTCTTCCCTATTACGTGTTGTTTCTTGTGTTTTTTGCGCGTCATTCTAGCTCTTCTTTTAAGTCTATGCTTGTTTCATTTGTTGCTTCCTTTGTTTTTTATGTTCACGTTCACTCGGTCGCGATTATCGCTATCTTCAGGTTAGTAACAAATCCTAACCGCGTACATCAATCAAAACCTTTTAAATTCAGGGTTCCGCAGGCCGAGTTGATCAGTCAAAAAAGCATGATACTGAAAGCATAAAGGCACGAGTCTGAGCCTTACTCGAGTCGTTCGTCTTTCCTCCTCCCGATGTAGTGAAAGAAATACACTCTGTGGGAAGGAAACAGACGAACAGAATCTGCGCATATCACGTAGCGGTAGACTCATTCCAACGGTGTCCATTACTTTTCCTTTTCTTTAAATCACTCACAACCGGCTTCACAACTGTGCAACGGATTAACCAATAAATCGTAGGAAACAACCCTCCTACCGGAGCCACTCAATCTACAGAGGCATCGAAAGAAGGACGTTCTCGCGATCTTAACTAAACACCACGTTCGAGTGTTGCTGGTAAACACGACGAACAACGCCGGCTGTCTTCCGTTTACACAACATGGTGACAAGTGTAAACCACGTGTTGATTGCTGCTGTCGGTGTCACTCGTTTTCATTCACTGCCAGCTGACGGCAGACTTAGACATGCCAACGTGTAGCCGAAAGGTCAAGAACCGTTCAAATGCCTTAATTAGCTGACCAAGAGGGTTATGAGCATACATACATACATACATACATACATACATACATACATACATACATACATACATATATACATGCATACG